CCCCAAAACCCCAAAACCCCTAGAGTAAAATTAAGGTATAAATTGGTCAATAAAAGGACATTGGTTAAAAATATAATATAATTATAATTATATGTAAGAGTAGAATACCCACTTGTAGAGTGAGCCGTAGAAATTTGAAAATTCCTCCACAGTTTAATCTTTGAAATCATTATAACATTGTCTCAATGAAATAATTACAGATTCAATTATAAAGACAGTTTAATAAAGAACAGGGCTTGATGGTATTAAAGAGCAAATTTGCTAGGAAATTTCAAATCAAATGAGAATATTTTTGGGTGATTAGTGGTCTTCATTTATGAAGGAATAGTATATCTCTGCTCAAGCTGCTTAAATATGTGAGGAAACAAAAACAGAGTAATTTGATCCAACTCAGCCAATTGAGGATTCTAAATAATTTTAAGAAGCAAAATTAAAAGATTCAACTAACAAACAATAGATAACCGTATCAAGCCCGGTTCTTGGCAATATTAATAAAAGAAGGATTAAGGAGAAAGAGAACAATCAACATGCAATCAACAGAACTATTCCTAATCATAACCAGAACTAATAGAATCTCGAAGAAAACAAAAGACCATTATAAGGATTCTCTGATGTTATTATTAAATAAAACAATAAAGCTCTTCCTCTTTCAGCAGACTACTAATCTTCAAATTTAAATCTAAGTTTGCTAGATGTCTAAGAATCTTAAGATTTCAAAGGTTCAGAATAGTAGTTTAAGGAAATTTTGAACTCAAATTAGTCAAAATCTATTCAATCAAAAGAACCTTTTAATTCATCTTAAAATAGTGATTAAATCTAGTTGAACTCAACTGGATAGTTTGGTAGCAGCCAAGGAGCTCAGAAAGAAAGCTTAGTTTAAACCTCTGACTCAAAGATATGATTTTTGCATTTCAATGAGTTTAATTTATAAAGGAAGTATAAAGCAATGTAGTTTGCTTTTAAGCCAAATCATATTTAAGGACCTAAAACATTTGTCATAATAAATTAATTTTATTCCTATGATTTCTCAAATTGTGCAGAATATTTTTTTCTGGGGTTTTGGGGTTTTGGGGAGATCGGAA